ACACATATGAAACAAGGTCATAAGCAATATGTAAACAGATGGATATGAATCTGACACGTATGTAGATGTGAAATTTACACCCAGCTGCACCACATAATATAACATACATATTGGTGAGTAATTAAAACAGGGTTTTTAAAGTGATCAGTAATTTTATAAGAGGGTTCCAACATAATATATATTTAAGGTGATTTTAAAAATGGTACGATTATCCTTACTTGATCATGTCAAGTCAACTTTATTTCATAATACACGTTGTTTCAAAGCAGCTTTACAGAAAATAATGATGTTAATATCTGAGATATAAATGATGTTATATCTTCATGTATTTTAGTCACATTTAGCAGATTGGGCGACAATATCGTTTACATTTTGCGATGATATAAGCAGTTGAGATTTGCTATGTAGCATATTTGCCTACATCAATATACTGTATGTATTGATGAAGCTGGACACAAATGTCAGAGATGTAAGAAAATCTGTAGTAATTTGCCTGTCTATTAACAACTTTTACCTCAGTTAAAAAGTCTAGAAAGCCCTTTTTCTCCAAAACTCCTATTATATTCAGAACAAAATTATGATGTGTATTCTTTGCATTTTTGTGACAGGTGCAGTTTCTAAATGAGAGAGAGACTAACTTATCTTGAGTAAAGCATTGACTTGGCTAATATGAAAGACAATAAAGTATCATTTGCTTTGTTCATTACATTTTTATGAATTACTCCCCATTGTACTTCTCTGCCATTAAGCTGCCCTTGTTTACTGGATGCAGACTACTATAAACTAGAGGACTATAAACTACAATTACACGAACTCAACCACTGCCCGCTATAAAACTAATGGAAAAAATTAATGTGTAGGCAATGAAGAAAGAAAGAGGAATGAAGTGCAGAAAGTATCTGACAGGAACTGCAAACACTATGAATGAACAATACAAAGGGGGAAAAGAGGGCAATAGTGTTACTTTTAGTGGGTGTTACTTTGATGGGTGATCCATTACTACAACTATATTTTGTATATACCATAAATTCACCCCTAACGTATTCTGTTTTGTTTAATTCTATTTTTACTTGTCCTTTTTAACTTAACTTTACTTCCTATGATATTTTCTTTACCTGACCTCATTTATTTTCTGTATTTTAATTTTGCTATTATAAATACTGTGTAAACACTATGGCAATATTGTAAATGCTGTCAATCATACCAGTAAAGATGTTGACTCTTACTCTGAGAGTTGCGTGTTTGCCCCTTAAGCTAAGTCTGTCTGTAAACTCCCTCGGGTTTGTTTCTCTTGCCTAAACAAGGAGGTGTGGGCTAAATTTGCATAATCAGAAAAGATTGGTTATTCTGTGGCAACAATGTCATTAGGTTTACAATGTCTTAAGATAACAGAAACAGATAACATCGCCTAATGACTGTATAATGTTACTAGCCCTTTAGTGACCTATTGAAACCAATAGAGCTCCCGGTTTCTGTAAACAAGAACAGAAGTTCTAAACAATGCATTTACCTCATTAATGGAGCTAATAGCCTTCTGTTATGTCAACCAAAACAAACCATTAATAGGAACTCATGAAAGTGGTACACCTTGAGCATTCAAAAGTAAATGTGCACGCATTTCAGGTTTTGCAACCCAAATGTACAATAAACACCGGCAAAACGTAACCAAATCCAACTTGCCACACCAAAACCCTTCCATATAGTTAATAAAGTGAGTGAATAATGTCTATATTTACATGCCAAAATGTGTATTATAAATGCCAAAATATGTATTTTAATGGTATGGTTAAGTCTAGTGTTTAGTCATCACAATTAGCTTATACCAAAAACAACACATGTAAAGGAGAAACAGATATATAAGCAAAAGTATATGTGTGTGTGATGTGTGGTCCCTATGTTGTGGGGACCAAATGTCCCCACAAGTATAATTTCCCCATGGGAAAAACAACTTGTAAATCATATCAAATTATGCTTTTTTTCCATTTTCTGTGAGTGTTGTGTTTTGGAGAAGGGGTAGAGTTAGAGGGTAGAATAATACAGTATATACGGAATATTAAAGTATACAGTATGTCTAAGGAAAGTTTCTACAAAACATGAAAACCCAATGTGTTTGTGTGTGTGTTATGTCAAATAAAGCCTAGGTTTAATACTGTGTGCCTGTAAACAATTAAACTAAATTTGGGACCATTCATCCGAAAGGCACAGCAGCTCCCCCAATGACACCTTGCCTTTAATTAGCATGGCTATTTCTGCTCAAACACCAACACAGCGCAGATATGCTAATGCAAGGCTATTTCTGCCAACGAACGCATCGGTAAAATGCTCCTTTAGCTAAGAGAGTGGCTAATGTTAGCATAAGAGAGCGCTAAATCGAACACGCTCAATAACCTGGACAGTTTTTGGATGGTCAGCATTTCACCTGGTGTGATGCAAAGATCTTTCAAGCACTTTAGCGCCACCTTCACCAATTCGTGTCATTACTGTATCAACTACATGAAGCTGTGGTTTATGAATTACATCTGTTCATTTTAATATTACCACCATGATGTTTTAGAGAAGTGTCTTTCTTGGGGCCCACTGCCAAAAGTAGACTGAACATTAATGGAAGTTTAGCATGATGGCAGATGAACCATACCTGAAATGTTATCCTGAGAAGGGCATTCAGTCATCTTGGGTGTACACTGGTATTTATAAGGGAGTTGGGTACATGTTCATATACATGGTACAGGCTGTTTAGTAGCATTTTTAAGTTCCAGTACTAACTGTATGAATTACGATAGCCTGGGAATATGTGATAGAAATCTGACAGAAGTGTGTGCAATAAAGATTAAAAGTGTTTTTCTTTGTCTATTTATTTATGTATGTGCTTAAAGGTTATGTGATGATGTTGTCCACCCTCTCCCAGTAGTACTGCTATCAACGAGCCTGTCAAATTTCTAGGATGAATATTTCACAGTTTGGAAAAACAGAGATCCTCCCTATAACTGTAAAACAGTCATACTCCTACACGCATACACCCAAACACAGACACACTAATCCAAACACACTGCATGAATACAAACACTCTTACAATCCCCTCTCAAAACCACTCAAACAGGCGCTTTTTTCATTCTCATCCGTAGTCCATATTGCCTGTGTGTATGTGTGCCCTCTGCGTGTGTACATACATCTGTCTCATGAAAGCCTGGAAACAATGCCAACACTTCGCAGTGGAGAAACAAATGCTCAGATTTATAGTTCCTGAGTAAACATTATATATACACAAAGGAAAACGAGAGAGAGAGAGAATGTGGAGAGGGAGATTATGTGTGTAAATCTGTGTGCTGGCATGCGAGAGAGGGAGGAACAGAGCAATTTTACCAAATGTAACTGTAGATGATGCATTTAAACATCTGCTCTGCCTTAGGTGGAGTTTACTTACACATCCAAGAGAGGACAGAGTGAAAAAGAAATCATATTACCGGCCTTCTTTATGAAGATGTGTCAACATAAAGATACAATACATACACGTCACCACTAAGATTGACTATATACATACATATACACACTGTCCCTTGAGTGCTTCTGTAATCTTTACAGCTTAACCCTCCATATTACATGAAAAATGTCTATAGGTGTTTAGGCTATACCACTAAATCTATAATCATTATGTAACAATAAACGTAAAATACAAATACAATTATGCACAATGTTAACGTATATAAAAGCCAAGGATTGTTTGCAATTACTCGTTCCTTTTTCTTACATAATAAAAATTAATTATTAACAGTCGTCATAACTTTTGCCTGTCAGCAAGTTAAACACTGATTCAGGTGGAGGGAGTGAACTCACTTTCACATTCGTTAGATTGATATATTAATTACATAAGAGATTGTAAATCGAAGGCACGGGTTTATGACAGCGGAGCGCACGTGGCCTCGCGAGCCGCGGGATCATACCGGGAGAAACCGAATTAAAGCGGGCCAGATCATTTCGGCGGGGGAGGAGGGGTCGTGCGAGGCTTGCGAGGGATATTTCTACGTCAAAAAATAAAATAAATTGATAAAAAGAGGCGTCGCTGATGCTCGCGCACCAGAGGACTCGATGCGTGACCAGCGCGAGTCTCCGCGTAAAAATACATAAATAAAGTTTGAGAAAAACAAGCTCAACAACTCACTCCTCCATCCGTTTATCACTATGCAGGAACGAGAATTAGATGTTTATGCTTTCTCATTTGATCACCTCACAAAAAGTGTTATCAGATCAAAAGTAAGGATAGATCGCACAAAACCGTCTTACCAGCTTTGCAGGGATCCTTGTAGTCTATCGTTTCTGTTTTCTCCTCTTCATAATAATCATAACTGTCATCATAATCGAAGCAGCTGTGCACGGACACTTTGCCCCAAAAAGTCAAGCCGGCCAGCAGGTGTTAACGTATATAAAAGCCAAGGATTGTTTGCAATAACTCGTTCCTTTTTCTTACATAATAAAAATTAATTATTCTAATAACAGTCGTCATAACTTTTGCCTGTCAGCAAGTTAAACACTGATTCAGGTGGAGGGAGTGAACTCACTTTCACATTCGTTAGATTGATATATTAATTACATAAGAGATTGTAAATCGAAGGCACGGGTTTATGACAGCGGAGCGCACGTGGCCTCGCGAGCCGCGGGATCATACCGGGAGAAACCGAATTAAAGCGGGCCAGATCATTTCGGCGGGGGAGGAGGGGTCGTGCGAGGCTTGCGAGGGATATTTCTACGTCAAAAAATAAAATAAATTGATAAAAAGAGGCGTCGCTGATGCTCGCGCACCAGAGGACTCGATGCGTGACCAGCGCGAGTCTCCGCGTAAAAATACATAAATAAAGTTTGAGAAAAACAAGCTCAACAACTCACTCCTCCATCCGTTTATCACTATGCAGGAACGAGAATTAGATGTTTATGCTTTCTCATTTGATCACCTCACAAAAAGTGTTATCAGATCAAAAGTAAGGATAGATCGCACAAAACCGTCTTACCAGCTTTGCAGGGATCCTTGTAGTCTATCGTTTCTGTTTTCTCCTCTTCATAATAATCATAACTGTCATCATAATCGAAGCAGCTGTGCACGGACACTTTGCCCCAAAAAGTCAAGCCGGCCAGCAGGAGTGTGATCCAATTCATTTTGCTGGTCAGTGCAGAGTGAAGGTAGTCCATCTGAAGTTTGAATGCGCGCGGATCAGAGTGGAGTGTCTCCTAAGAGTCCGGTAGTGGTGATTTAGCGCTACACGCGCCGTGTGGACATCATCATCTTCATTATCATCATTGGTCCGGTTCGACAGACGGGGCAGGACCGTCAGCGTCGCGCATCTCAGCTGGACGCCCAATGCATCGACGTGAACCTCAACAACTGCGGCTGATACCAGCTCAATTTCTTTTCCACAGTCAGTTTTCCTGAAGACGCAGATCTGCAATGAAAGCCAGTTTTTTTTTTAACGAAACAAGACACTGGTGGCAGGGGGTACACTTAAATTAATACTTAAATGAAGATGTTTAACATATTTAAATGTCCAAGAGTAGGGTTTTACAGAAGCTTACAACCTCGATAGATAGATAGATAGATAGATAGACAGATAGATAGATAGATCTGTTTCCTGTGCATACGAACCACTTACTTTTAAAAGAACAACAGACATACATCTTTCGTGCATTATAAACACAGGAAACTTCTGTTTACTTCAACCAACACGAGCCGGTAGCTGTAAAAGTCACACATTCACTAAAATGTGAGTAATAATCCGACAAAAGCACTGTTTTCCGTCGCCTATACAAACCTTCAGGATGTAACGCAAGTTCCATGTAGGTGAGATCGTATTTAAAAACTGTTATAAATACAACAGTCGCTTTATTAGGAGGTGACAGTAAAAGCGGCTGCGGTGTGACATTTAACAAACCTGTTTAACTCCCCTCATAAAGTAGGTCTCTCTCTCTCTCTCTCTCTCTCTCTCTCTCTCTCTCTCTCTCTCTCTCTGTCTGTCACACGCGTCTCTGAACTAAAAGCAGTTTCTCAGTGTGTAATTTGCTGCGTGAGGCTGCTTTAATTTGGTCAGTGTGGACCTCAAAATAGCTGCAGCCTGCTGAAACAAGAAAGCCCAGAAACACTAGAAAAGAGCTGGCTGGAGCTGATATATACGTTTGCTCCATTCAACACATCTCAGTTCGATTGTATAAACTTCTCTCACTTGAGTGAAGTGACTGCCAAAACGCCGAACGGACTCATAAAGGCAGCTTTGAGCTCGTTTATCCACTCTCATGTCCCGACTAATTCAATGTACCGCCCATAACCCCGGGGCCTGGTCTCCTTTAACGCCTATTTACCTCAGGAGAGTTTGCATCTCCGTCACATCTGACAGAACAGAGCGGAGCGTCCAAGTAAACGCGAGGAGACTCGAGCCTTTATCGCGCGCCACTTTACAAACACAAACAATAGACGCGCCGTAGTTTTAACACCGTGGCGTCAACCCTTGTTAAAATATGAGAGAGCTTACCTCAGAGAATGCCCTCAGGGTCTAGTGTTTTACAGCCTCAAAGCGCAGGCTCATCCTGAGTACTGCCCTCATATTCCCTCTCTCTCTCCCTCCCCTCTCTCGCTCTCTCTGGAAACACTTCTTCCACAGCCACTGGGATATTAGAGTGCGCTTGCGCTTATTCCAAACGTGCCCATTTCCCTGGAGATTCACGAGTCTCTCTCTCTCTCTCTCTCTCCTGACACACACATACACACAGATTAATCCCCCCCCCCACGGCAAGGTAGCTGTGTGTTGACGTCACGCCATCAATCCATCAAGCTATGCCTCACCTAGCAAAAACTCATGCACACACTCATGCACTGCATGACTAGAGCACTAAAGTGTTTGTAAACGGGCGTTACTGTGGGTAAAATTATGAATGATTAACATATATGAATGGCTGCTAACATTCTGGCAAGGAGTCAGAGGGCATAGGTAGTAACCAATTCAGTGCAAAGATGTTTTTGAAAGGAGGGGAATCTCCTTGGATGGGTGGAACAGGGAAGATACTCTGAAGCAAAGTTCTTAATGAGTGCATGTTTGTGTGTGTGTGTGTGTGTGTGTGTGTGTGTGTCAGGTTTTGCCTACACCAGCACTCACCCAGGAGGAAAACATCTTAATAATTGAGCACCAATAATTTAGCACCTAAACGGCATATTAGAATGTTCTCTGAAGGATCAGGTAACACTGAAAGCTTTGCCATCACAGGAATAAATTGCATTTCTAAATATATTAAAATAAAAAACAGTTCTTTTAAATTAAAATAATATTTCACAATATTGCTGAATTTTTTAATCAAATATATGATCATATGAATAATATAAACAAATGATGATATGTTCTATTGTTTAATAATGGCTCTTATTATTATCAATGTTGAACATTTTGCTGCTTAATATTATTGTGGAAATCCTGATTATAGCAGCCTTGGTGAGTGTAAGATTTTTCTTTAAAAAAAAAATTCAACTTAATATTGTCTATTGTTGTTTTCTCTATAATTTCCCCAGAACATGTGTGTATGGGTTTGGGAAGGCTTGTGAGGGTCAAAATGCCATCTGAGGTGGTCTTTATTACATGAAAAGCATCTTGCTTTAAATCAACAGGTTATATGTGGGGGTTCAATTTGGGGTTAGGTTTACCAAATAACCTCTGCTATATTAAAACCATTGTGCTTATGAGAGGCCCCCTCAAATACAGTGAAACCATCAAGTGTGTGTGTGTGTGTGTGTGTGTGTGTGTGTGTGTGTGTGTGTG